ATAACTTGACTTATCCATGACTACCACTGCTCCACCTTTGTCGGCTTTCATTACGATCAGATTACTACCACAGAGCTATCTAGAAACTCTACTCAGATGACAATCTTTCTTTGGCGGTATTATATAGTCAAAATGAGGGATCACCTTCAGTTCAATAATATTCCTTACCTCTTCACGCAATCTATTAGATAAGCTAATTAATTCAACAAATATTTCCAGAGAATGGTTTATCCCATTTGGAAGAGCAAAATTGAATCCTCTTTCAATAAAAGTACCACACCATCCTCCAGAGTTGTATTAGATAAATTGATTAGCTTATCTTTTTCCATTTTGCTACAATCATGGTTACTAAGACTTACCTTAGGCGCAAAGTTTCTCGACCTTATTCTACTTCCTACATTCCGAAACTTCTTATCATGTGTCCGACGGGTCGTTCTATCAGTCGCCTCTACTAACCCGACATGCCATAATCGAAAAAACGAAAAGTTTGAGACCATTTAATCTCGTGTCCCGTTTCTGCCCTGTCCTCAGCCAGCTCTGATTTTTGAAGCCAACAACTTTTGCAGACGCTTTTGTGCTCAGTGAAGAGATTCGAATGTCGATCCTACCAGAAGACGACGACAGACTCCTCTTGTTTTTCACATGTAAGCAGCTGTCGGTTGGCGTTGCTGGAACACTCTTGTCATATGACGGACGAAAGGTTGGCAAGCTTTCATCGGAATCGAATGAGACCGCCTCGGAAGCAGCGTCAACTAGAATATTCTAATCGACAGCTGGTCAGGAGGAATCCGCCATCGTCTTCTGGTGAGATCGGCCTTCAAGGCTCTTCAATAAACTCTTTCACTCGAAATGGAAGTTAGCTCAACAATTATGAAATAAGAGATTGCTTTAAGCCCAACTTTTCTTCGAATATCCTATTTTCACAACATCATACTGGCCGGTTAGACTGGGCCTCAAATGTTGTTGCAACTTCAGGGTTTTGAGAGTAGACAACCACATTTAGACGGAGTGTGCTGCTCTTGACCTTCCTATAATCAACTCGAATCCGAGATAGTACATCTTATAAATTCATACAAGGAAGAGGAGGGTCTTTTCGTTATGTGTCAGGGGAGTCTTTTCGTCTTCTTGATTGCTGTTTGACCATTCGTGTTAGATGAACCAAGGGATCATAGAGAATCTTCTCTCAAAATGGCTGCCATGTGAGCATTCGGGAAGTATAAGAATGTAATCACATTAGATTTTTAAGATGATAGACAAGTTTATACACAATAGGATTACTAGGCCACATGCTATAAATGAATTTCACTTAGCCCTGACCCCCAAAAGGTTATTTCAGCCTAAAACAGCGTAAAAGTCAATAAAATCATGAAGTCTACGAACTTTATTGTTGGAAAACCTACTTTTTGGTCCTTAAAACATCTTGAGCGACCTCTAGAATTACTGATAATCTCAAAGCTTGCTTACACCGAAAATTCATTTATACTTAGATTAATTTCAAGCGTTTTTTGACAAATTTAGGATCAGGAGGACAAACTCAAGTATTTTCGGATCGGAGACTTCCTCCGCTTCTTCGATTTATATCCCAACTTCCGTAGTCAATCCAGAGACCTGCATGTCAGTCTCGACTTGCCAAAATTCCTTGTCTGGGAAGCCGGACTGACTCGTTTGCCAGTGGTCAGCATTGAACCGCTGTACAACACACTGAGACCTCTTGGACTTCTGTACCAGGCTGCCAGGGGCCGGAATAAAGGTCGCAGCAGTCTATCTAATCGCATCCGTCGGTCTGCCGCGGACCTAGCGACCGTCAGTCTACACCTTTTACTTAAATCGGCCGGACTTGGACCACTCGTTGATTGGACAAGGCGGTGGCGGAATCTCGGGATTCCAGAAGTTTCCGGGGCTGTTGTCTGGATGCCAGGTGAAAGTACTCTTTAATCGCATCGTCTAAGGGAGGCAGCAAACCATTTAGCCGTCATCAATTTAAGGGAAATGAACGCTAAAAATGTCAGATAGTAAGGCTTGGGTCCTGCAAACCTGACTGAAAGATTCAGTCTGGGAAAATATGATCACAAGTGTGGGACTTTACTTATTCACAATTTCAAGCAGGAGTTGGAGGAAGCTTGAATTCATCGAAAATATTTCAGCATAATTGAGGAAATATTAATCTGAGCAATTGGCTTGGAGGCGTTATGTACACCCGTTCAAGTTAGGGCATACAAACTAAAGGATAGTCGAATATGGAAGTGACCATAAATTATCAGACAATGGAGAACCTAAATTTGATTAATTAATTATTATTTATATTGAAGATATGAAGACCAAGATGGTGTGGCCTTTTGTGTGGTCGCAGTCTCCTTTCGTGGTATAGAAGTTGTTTGACCTTGTTTTCGCAACTCGGTCATTTTGGTAGGAAGACTTAGAGGAACGCACCAAGTCCGGAGTCCATTGTATGCATAATCATTTCCAAAGTCGGACCGTGGACGTGATACATTCCCAGACGTTTCGCCGACATCGTCAGTGAGTCTAGCCATTCGTAGCACTCGTCAAAGTGACAAATGAAGCCGATCCTTTGACCAAACGTGTGCTAAACATTTGTGGTATCTCTCCTTCTGCCCTGGCCTATTTACATTTCATATATCCTTCTATTATTTAAATTGCTTAATTACTTTCATTACCTGAAACTTCATGATATGCCTGCTCCTACTCGGAAAAATTTCCAATAGGCTGCCTTAATATCGGTTCGAGCCGCTTTAAAGTAGGAATGTATTTGCAAAATAGGTTTTATAAGGTATGCAGGCTAATTGTGATCATGATGAGCAAGGATTAATTTGTCTTGTTTTAGAGGTCGGCATTATAATAATTCTTTTCTAAATCCGCAAAGTTTATAGAGCAGTCTGGTCCCCTCTCAAGGCATTTTAAACGATGAAAAAACTACGCCTACTCTCTACCTTTATGTGCTTTGGATCCAAGATTGGAAGAAGTTTTTGCCCTATTCCAAACTGTCTGAGACGGTCTGCTGCAGCAGATATGGCCTAGCCTCCGTACCAAGATGGTATTGATCCTGAAGATGACTGACACTGTTGAAACAGTAAAGCGAGTTCTTTCACGACCGAATCTCGATTAGGGCCAGTGAGATCACTGGCTAACGCTAGTTCATGTAGGCTAACTATGCAATTTTATTCAAGACACTCTTAAGAGTAAAGCTTTTGGAATAATGAGATTATCACGGTACTACACCATAGTTAGCTAACTTAATCATTTTTCTCCTTAAACTATACTATTTTCGGTATTTTTGCAACCCTTTACTTCCCTATACTCTGGCCCAATACCTGACGGGAAACGGGAGCACCCCCAAAAAGAAGGCTTTTCTTATGAGTTTATATGGAAAATGAATAGATGCATAGGCGACTTCGGTGTCTCAAATAAACGACCAACTTCCAGTTGTAGGATAGGCTGAATTCATAAATGACAAAGCCCTGGAAACTCAAATATACGGTGATGGGAGGATTATTTGGAAGTAAAGCAGCTGTATAAATTATACTGTATTACTGACTAATGAATAATTAATACTTCTTAGTGGTACCAAGACAAAAATTGCTTATCTTGTTTCTGAAGACTCTTATCCTGAGTAATATAATTGTCTATTTTAGGCGACTCAATTATCAATAATGGCGATGTCACATTTGCCTCTCGTAACAAATATATACAGCTCCTATACTATCTGGCAATCCAATATGCATCACTTCCCACATCTATAAAATATTATGTCTATATTTCGATCACTCTCGTGTCTAGCTATCCATGTGTCTATCAATTCGACTACAGATCTCCACCAGCCCACCCAAGAAGATTTCCGCTTTCGACCTACCTTTTGTATATCCATCAATTGACCAATCCTATTAGTCCCGATGGTAGACATCTCGTCCCAAGTTATTCGGCTTACAAGGTTCTCTTAATTCCTATCCAAACGGGTAGGATCTGTGTTGACTAATTTAAAGCAGAAATCCTTTAAGTTCTCTGCTTAATAAAACAATTTTTGGCCTAATTTATTGCTATCTTGCATAATTGAGAGTAAATATGATATTTATCCAACTTCTCCTAAAAATTTTGCTTCCATGATGTTACAGATGGTTTCATAAGTGTACTGACTATGGACGGAGCTACCTACGCCTTACGAATATCAGACAAGCAGGATACAGGCTCATGCAATTATGCTGCTCTCAGGCTGATCCGTTCTGACGGTGTCACATTGGGTCGCACTCTTTACGGAGGCAGTTGGACACTCGATTTAAAGATGAGCATGAGCAAGCCAGAACTCTTACTTGGCTTTAATGAAACAAGTCTATTCGGCATTGACCTGCTTAGTGGCAGCGTCTGGAGGGCGGGTCAGAACAACTTATCTGATGATTCCAAAGAAAATCTGCGGCTTCCAGTACGTCTAAATGGCCATGAAAATGGTGTTATCCAAATCCGACACAGCATCAGTTCAGGCCAGAGACCAGAAATCATCGTCGACGCCATGAAGGAATTGGGCTTCATTGTATCTATAGTCCAAGCTGAAGCTGGACAAGGAGTGCCAATCCGCATTCGGATGAATAAGTGGTATCATGGACGGGTAATTGGACTTCTTGGAAACTCTGATGGAGAAGCAAACAATGATATTGTTACTACTAATCCAGTTCATCCGGTAGGCAGTTCAACAGAAAAGAGTCGCATATCGGTTGGAGTTAATAAGCATGGCGACAGAAAAACTTGGATGTCAAAGGCTCTAAAGTATCATGTAGTCGATAAGTACATTGAGAGCACTACTTTATCAAGCTCGGAAGAAAAGAAATGCCGACTGGTACTTGATGAAGGCATAAATTATGCGACAGAATCAGCAACCATACAGGGAATTATTGATATGTTCAGCAATACGCCTAAGTGTGGCTTCTTACTTAGGGCTCCTATTTCTCCGTTTGCTCATTGCTTTGATGCGGTCAACGTACAGCCATATCTTAGGTTATGCAACTTATTGAAGGACCAGGGTACATACGCCGTCATCCAGTTATATGCATCCGCATGCAGTGACGCAAAAGTCAATATACCGCAGAATGTGCCATGGCCATCTGCAAATAGTGTGAATTTCTCAACGGTACCCGTGGTATTTATAGTTAATCATGATAGCTTCCGCACCAATGCTCAAATGCTTAAGGCTATTCAAGGTCTATCTAGTCTATCAAAAGCTATAACTAGCGGCCATGATCATCTACACAACCCAATAAAAGTAACATTTGGGCTGATCGGTTTCTCGGATAGCCTGCTGACCACCGTGATATATGGTCATTCAACAAAAGCCTCATCTTCCTGGTTGACAACTGCAAGTTTGGCAGAGCTTGATTCCAGCCTAGAACGTCTCATTGACAATTCATCTATCTTATGCGAGAGATCCATTCAGGATGCGTCAGTTACAGGCCTTTCTGGATACGCAGATGCCACTGAACTAGCACTGAAAATGGTATCACTAATCGAATTTCATAGTCCACCGCTGTTTGTATTGATAGCCGGTGACAGCGGATGCCCACGAGCCAACCTATCAACTGATCACGAGACAAAGATCACAAATGAGTTAATCGAGTCGCAGGCTAATCTAGTATTTGCTTCTGAATTTAACTACCGCGAGCCACCTGGTGGTCACCGCAGTCTTTTGGGAGTCGATCGTTACCACGCCTATTCACCCCGACATCCAGGTGGACGCCGCCTAGCTGGAATTGAGGCGCCGCGACCGCCCGAGGATGCCTGTGCATCCTGGGCTTTGGAGTCAGCTGCCTGGGGCCTAGCTTGGGACGTGCGCACGTTCCCTGATGAGATAAGCAAGCGTCTCGTCATGCAAGCAGTATCCCTGTCAGCAAAACAAACTATTTCATGATACCAAAATGTTTTTCAAAACAATTCATTACATTCACTTAAATAATGTGTTCCTTGCGCTACCAAATGTGTCCATACAATATCAGGATTGACTAAATGGTTCCAATGTCCAATTTTTAAAGATGCAGTCATAAACACTCAATCATAATTTCCTAAGACCGACCAAAGCAGACGATTAAGCGTCCCGAGTACTAAATTTAGATCATACAAGCACTTTCCATTAATTGTTTACTCATCTCATTTATTATACATTCAAGGTTACTTATGAGAAACAATAAAACTTGGGAGGGGACTTGCACATTTTCGATCGGTTTAGATTTGTTACTCTGAATACAGTAATACGTAATAGTAGTGCAGAGCAACCAAAAATCGATATGGCAAGCAAAATATATATTCATTTTCGCCAAGCAAGATAAGTGATGATTCATTATGAAAAAAGACAATTGCGAATACTTTCTTAATTCATTTATAACCTATACTTACTACTTGTAAGCTGTACCTGCGCAAATATCTTAGAGCTAAATACCAAATAATTTCTCCAATTTAACCGCAGTGAGTACAGTGAATATCAGTTCAATCGAATAATTAGTAAATTGATTTTCTGTAGATGGTGTTTATAAAAAAGCATGCATTGCATCAGAGATTCATTAACATAGTAAAACTGCAAAAAAGGATGTGATCATGTTTTCAGCTATAGATGGCTAAATAGGTAGATGTAGAAGATTTCTGTCATTTAGCATCTACGGAAAACCCATTAAGCTTGATGAAAATGAATTCTGGTAAGACGTTCTTTAATTTTGCATCTTTAAGATGATAAATAGGAAAGTATCAAATTAAATACACAAGGTTCGCAGAAGTTAAAACATACTTCAAAGTCATAAAACTCAAATTAATCAAGAATACAAAATTTTGTTAAACGCAGGACGTAGTTGCGGGTCGGAAAACTAATAACAGTAAGGAACACAATTGAGGTAAATAGTTTGATAAAAATACAATACTAAATAAACTAAAACAAGAAATTCCTGTTTCACGGATCATTAATCCAAAGAATCAAGAAATTTTTTCAGCTGTGATATAGCTCTGGATCGATGAGAGATTGCATTTTTTGTACATGCCGACATTTCCGCATATGTCTGATCATATTCATCAGGCTGAAAGCAAGGATCCCATCCAAAGGTTCGAGGGCCTCGTGGGCTGACGATACGACCTTTAGTGACACCTTGAAAAAGTTTAACGGGGCATCCAGGGCCAGCAGAGTATGCGAAGGTGCAGATTGCCTCAGCTGAGTTATTCTCTCCAAATCCAGTAATTAATTTTGGAAGACCTGAAATATTTTAATGAGTCCATAAACTATTTAAGAGTTAAAACAGAAAAAATTAAAACTAGTTATTCATAAAGATCAGAAAATACAGACAAAATTGTAAATAATTACTACCATCTGGACCCAAGGCCTTCAGAAACCATTTTATATAGGGACCAGGCATTCCATTGAGAGCATCAAAGCATAAAGAGGTGTCTTCAACCAATACGGATGAGTTTAATCTATTTGCTGCCTCTTCACACTTCTTAATTGAAACTTCGTTAACCGTTCCCTGGAGTTCTGGTAAGTCTATATCGGAAAAAGAAAGCTACAATTTTGAATAAAAACTATGATTACCAAAGAAGAATATTTATCTCCAAGAATTTCAATAATTTCAGACAACTTATTTTTATTGCCGGAGACGAATAATATTGTGGAGCACATGGAGAATTCAACTATAGCGCATGAGTATACCTATGTTGTTCTAATTGATAAAAACTGAAATAAGTCCAACAAAGTACGAACGACACCAAGATAAACCATTATTAAGCAAATATTAATATGGGATTAAATATTAAATATCATAGTCTTTCTTAAAGAAAAAACATATGTAAACTAAATTTTTATTTGGAAAAGTAATAGTCCATGATGTGATAAATCATGATGTAAAAAATAACTAAAAAGTACTTAAAAATACTTAAAAATGGTATTACTGCTTTTTATACTAATCTAAATTATATATACTTTGCTAAACTTAGCATTTTTAAAATAATTGAGCCCAGTTATAGCTATATCTTCTAATAAATTTTAATACTAATGTAGTATTTGTCCTAAGAAAATAGTTATTCGTATTATGGTAAACCTTAACAAAATGTAATATGGGCTTCGTAAATCGTTGTATATTTTATTATAAAATATTGGCTTGGCATATTTTTAAAGTGCATTTTATCTGTTAGTATTTTTCGCATGTAAGTAGAGTTTCGAGACTACCAGTAAATCAGTTATATGA